ATTATATCCCCAGAAACAGCAGACTGGAAACGTACTTCATCTAGGTTCATGTTAACGAAACGAACATGCCAACACAGACGCACTCGGCAAAACATATTTAAAATCCTTTTCTGACACTCCTCGGAACAGAGACAGAAATAACTGACACCCGACAGTGTTGGAAACAAAATAACACACACATCTGGAACATGTCCTACACCCTTTACAATGGCAAGAAAGTGAGATTCTAGTAAACAGGATAACTGGGCGAGTTGGTATGGATTGATAATGGAACAGCGCGAATTTTTGCAAGGACAGAAGAAGGAACTGGACAGGACGAGCGCTGACTAACAACTGAAAGGTTTATTCTCAGGAAACCACGAAGAAAAACACATAACACAACTCTCTAATCACGATGGAAGTGCGCATGCGCCTCACAAAATTGGGTGCTATCAGTTGCACAATGTTACATGCGTCATCCCCGATCTAAAAATTCGACCTCATTGTCCAGCAAAATCAAGGAAGCCTGACTCACGCAGGCTGACCCCTCCTTCTTTATTCTATGAGCTTCAACAATCTCTCGAGCTTTTTGGTCCCGGTGTTTATACAAAACAACGGCTTTTTCCAGTAACGGGGTGCAGGCGCAGCCCCTGCAGTGTAACGCCAAGTGGGAGCTTGCCGTACCTGTTAAAGAACTACGGTGTTCCCGCAGGCGAATGTTGAGGCACCGCCCCGTTTGTCCGATGTATACCTTCGCGCAGGTGAAGGGTATCTTGTATACTACACCCAAGGTGCATGGCACGAACTCAATGCGGTGTTTTATGCCGCACGGGCTCTCCCCCTGTTTCTCTACCTTGTTAACGCGATTTTCCACTGCAGAGCAAATACAGCTTAGCTTGTTACGTGCCGAGAACACAACATCTACCCCGAACTTCGAGGCTGCTCTCTTAAAGCCGTGTGACATGTGGTGCACATACGGGATGACTGTGACCTGCTTTTTTACTTTTGTTGCTACTTTTCCCCGCGCTTCTGAGATTCTAGCTGCTTGATGAAATCAAAAGCAGCCTCTGAGGGTACAACCATATTGCGAAACAATTTACCGGGCACATGATACGCTTTTAACATCAAGAGGTACTGGTGAGGCGCTGTCACCTTCACAGACTTGTCATTCGGCAAATCCGAACAGACACAGTTTTGAGTCATTTTCTCGAGAAAAAGTTTGATAAGAAATCCTTCGACGTATAATGAGCAGAAGACGTCAATTACACTTGATTTTGTGTTCGACCTAAAAAGAATATTGATTTTTTTTTTAATTTTTGGACATCGCCTGGTACAATACCGCTTAACGTAGTGTTAATGATTAGCGATTAGTATATCTCACAAAATTTCGGCGTGGGAAGTCAGTCAGCCACCCATATGAGGCGACTGGTCTCTTGGTTGTAAATTAGCAATTTAGTTAGCGTTGTATGGCTGCTAGCCTTGGTCCTTTAATGGACGTCACGCAGGGATGATTAGAAAAACCTGTGTCAATAATACGCTCATAGAACTGTAGTACTCAAGTTTTGAGTAGCCATCAGGCGAGGAAAGCAAAAAAGAGTCGCGTAATTCATTAAGAAAAATTCCGAGAAAGGAGACACCAATCCCTCTCCTCCATAATCCCCTGAACAGTTTCGACGCGACTGCTGAAGCAAAGAAGCTCGACACGCCGGAAAAAAGAAACCGCAAACATGGGCGTACCAACCGGGGGGGGGGGGGGCAAGGGGGGCGCTGCCCCCCCCCCCCCCCCCCAGTTCTCAGAGTTGGGGGCAAGGCATGTGTTTTGCCCCACCCCCCCTTGAAGCAGCCGCCACTGGGCAGGGCAAACACTGGCCGGCAGCGCCCAAGGGATACCAAGGGCACCGCCCCCCGGCCCTGGGGGGGAAGGGAAAGGGGGGGGGGGGGTCTGGCTTGCCCCCCCCCCCCCCCCTCAAAAACAAGCTGGTATGCTACTGACCGCAAACCAGTCGCTTGCGTACTTTCTCTGCTTGTCGTCTGCTTCAAGAACGCTAAAACGCCGCCTTCCTATGCGCCAGCTTTCTCGCAATGTTTTCCCTTCTGTCACGTGTTTTCCCGCCGCGCTGTAAGAGGCCAGCGAGAAAGCTGCCGCTCTGCCGCAGCGAAACATTTCCAACCTGGTGGAACCGTGCTGCTCAGCCGCTGCGGCTGGAGAGATCGCCGCGACGCTAGAAATCGCGCCGCTCTAGGGACAAAATCGCTGCATGTGAAACCCGCTTTAGTATATATAGTTACACGGTGTTTCAAGGGGTTATCGGAGCGTCCACACTGAAGCAGAAAGCCCATACCTCAGAGCTTCCAACTGTTCGATCGAAGTCACGTGGTTCATGGGCCGGATTCGCAACACGAGCTGCGAGGAGGGGATGGAACCGATTTGATCGTTTGCAAGTGTCTCAGCCTTTCCGCCTGCATTTCTCCTCGCCACCCGAAACACGGGGCATGCGCTATCCGTCGACGCAGGAGGCGTCTGCGATTCAATTGCAAGCGCACACCACGGTTTAATATGGCCCATCTCTAGAATCGAGGCTCTCTACACTGAATTCTACACCATATAATGTCTCTTTTAGTTATGTACGAATTGGAGTTCCGTAACCGCGCTGGCAAAGCGGCTTTAGCGACAAAGCGGATCAGGCGGGTAGGGTAAGCTTGGCACGCACTTCTGAGGTACGCACAATGGTGCACGACAAAACACAACAACAGCAACAAAGAAATTGGAGAGTCGCGTTTCGTGCGAACAGCCCATCAGGAGTGAAAACTCCGAAAGAAAATTGTGACTAAAAAAATAAAGACGGCGTGAACTGTGATTTGTTAAACTGACTCATGTTACAAAACAGTTGTGTCGTCTTTCGCTTGGCTTGACGGCAAAAAGCAAACACGTAAAGTTACTTTTGTGTGTGCGCGTGTGTTCCGGTTGACTTTGTCGTATATCTGAAACGGCAAAGGGGGAAAAAACTTTATTCTTTTGTTGTTGTTTTGTCAGGACATACTTTTTACATAACGTTGAGTGCTGTTGCGCAAGAACCTCAAACCATGCGTATTTGAGCTTGTTATTGTGTTACTTATGGTGTTCGGAGACCACAAATAAAAAATAAAAAAAGACATAAGACCTCTTTGCTCAAGCGACGACGATGGGCACTACATCGAAAGCAATCAGACTCGATTTTGCGCACCCGAGGCGATGGCCCTTGGGTTCAGACGGGACTGTGTAAATCCCCAGCAACTCCCGGTAAATCTATCATAGCTTCTGTATACTCGTTGGACAGGACCGCGATGAAGCCGCGGAGCGGCCATGCTATACTCGTAATTATCGCACCTCTTTTCAGGTAGCTTTTTGATATATATATATATATATTTGATAAGGTATTCGCGAGATGACCTCACTACTCCGCACCACGTAACACGCTCTATATCACACTAGAACGTTGCGCACCCTTATAGCCGGGGTCACGTTACTTATACATCATACAAAAGACAGTCTTCAAACAGATTCGAACGCAAGTTACCATGATATCCGCGCTTCGAATGCCGTATGGCCGTGAGTTCAAGAAGAAACTTGCACGCAGCATTCTAACCGCGGATATTGTGGTAACTTGTGTTTGCAGACTGTCTTTTGTACGGTGGGTATACGCGCTGAGTGACCCCCCGGCTTGAGGGTGTAAAAAGGGTGAGATTAACAAACATGGCTGCAGCCTTTCAGCCCCTTTACTTTGAGTGATAAGCCAATTTTAACTGAAAAGTAGTGTGCTATTCGCGACTCCAGCGACCTATATAGACCGCCATAATCGCCATTATCGGGCAAATATGGCGGTTTGAAACCGGTTGTGTAGCGCCATATGTGTCAGCTCAACGCAAAACGCTCGGGTTTAGCATGGTACTCAAAATAATTTACCCCGATTCTTATTCACTACGTTTCAAACATACTGCGGTATGTTGGCTTAACCGACCCCCAGATGCTTGAGGTTCTTTTGGAGAAGCGATGAAAACATTTCGTTGCTGAGGGATCTCTGGGGGATCGCGGTATCCCCCAGTGACGATATTTGAATGCGGTTGATAGATTGGACCCGAGCATTGCGTGAACACTCGATTCGGGCTCGTGATAATCGGCATCTTGGAAAGCAATCGGGTGGTGGCGCGTGTCCAATCGATGCAATAACGAGAATAGCCGAACCATAACAATATCTGGAACTCAGCGCGTGTCCCGTGTTTTGCCAACCCCAGCGCGTGGCTATGATCAACATTGGCCACGTATAATCGGCTCCAGATCACGTGGCCGCTTGTTCTGGCTGCGAGTTTAGGGTACGAACTCCGGTTCTTTTTTTTTTCTCCCAGTTTTAGGTTTTCTTTCAATAAAAAAGCTCGTGGCGCGCCGGCCTCGGGGGGCGTGCGAGAGGCCGGCCGTTGCGTACGGTGAAAAACGAACGCATGTTTCATAGGTCATTTACTTCAGGGATTCGTTCTAAGCGGCATTTGCGCAAAGTACAAGAATCGTGGCGTCGCCCCTTTAAGAAGATACGTATTTTATAATCTGGTGGTTCTGATCCCATATTGAACGCTTTAAAAAAAAACCGACGTTTTCCACCCTGCCGGAAAATGTTGTTTTCAAAATCTGAAATAATCGGAAAGGTAGCGGTCAGTTTCTCTTTTCTAGAGTAACCGAGTAATCTAATCGAATAATTTTTAACCAAGAGTTATCGTAATTGAAATCGATCACATATTTCGAGTGACGCGTACGAAACTGCTCATTACTCATTAAAAACAAACGGTCTTTTAGACATGATCGAAACATGCATATGTATATGATACACGCGTGCTCCGAGCACGCCTTAGGCGTACCCGCAGAAACGCTATGTCATTTTGTCTGCAGCAAAACACTTAGTTATTTGTGCGATGTCGAGGACACCCGCGTATCCTCTATAGGGTAATTGATGGCTAACCTTACGCGAACGGACCCCGCCCGGTTTTCGCAGCCTCCTGCCAGGCTTCCGACTGACGTTCAAGCCGGAGAACGTGGGCCAGGTCGGGACGTCGGTGGCCATCCAGAAAATGACGTCACTCTGGCAGAGCGGAGTGGTCGCCTTCATCGGACCCGACGAGAGCTGCTACGCGGAGGCGCTGGTCGCCGACGCCTGGAACATGCCCATGATCACCTACGTGAGTGCACCCGGCCCAGCCGCTTTCACGAACGCTCGCGTCTAAAGACATACTGTCAATACCCGGTTATAACGGAATCGGTTATAACGAAATAGCGGCTAAAGCGAAGCAATCACGATTTCCCATTTCTTTTTGCACTTCGTTAGTACCGAAATCGGTTATAACGAAATACCGGATATAGCGAGGTGATTTCCGATTCTCGTTCACTTCGTTATAACCCGCAGATAGATAGATACTGTCGAGACCGGTTATAACGAAGTCGGTTATAACGAAATAGTGGCTACAGCGAAGCGATCACGATTTCACATTTTCTTTTGCGTTTCGTTATAACCGAAATCGGTTATAACTAAATAGCGGATATAGCGAAGTGATTTCCGAATCCCGTTGACTTCGTTATAAAGGGTCTCGACATTAATCTGTCTGTGAACTAGGTTTCGTTGCTAAAACGCGCGCCAAGTCGCGGCCACACTGCGACATTACATCGCCCATGAGACAGTCTTGAGACACTGTCTAAGGCATGTCTCTTCCTTGACCGACGGCCCTGTCAGATTTTCCATACAATGAACTGGATGTTTGAAGTATACACATGCTCATGAAGCTTCAAACACGCCTGATGCGTGTACTTGGATAATTCCGTCGCATGTTGGCAGCAAACAGCGGGTTTTTTATATGGTGTGTATGAGCAGTATTGCTGCGGCTTCACGCTTGAGCATAATGAAAAAGCCGTTACACCCGCCAGCCAAGGCAACAAAAAACGCGTACATTTAGCTGCAAAAGAATACACGTAAACATTATATAAAATAGTGCGTAATCATAATGTATCAAACTTAATCACGAATAGAGAGATTTACCGAGTGTCGCAGCGAGAGTCGAACTCAGAACCCTGTGATTCGCACGGCACCGCGAAAGAGGGGAAGAAAATGAGAGCGCGAGCAGCTATAGACTAAGTGGGACTCTAGAAAGCCTGCGATAGTATATAGTGACTGTCGGTCCGTGCTGCCGGCTTCCGCATGACGTAGCACTGTACTTTCACGTGTCCTATATAAGCTTATATTGGCCTCGGTCATTCTTATAAGCCTGTGGAGTACTTTACGTATGACTGTTTCCTGCGTACAACATATCTGAAAACAACTCATTCCACATCCAAGGAAAACAAATCAAGCTTCACGTATAACGCATGCGGAACGTATTCTTTGTTTCCCGAGTTTATAGAAATGATAAAGACAACCAATACATGTTTAGTTTACAGAGAAACTAGTTGTTTATAGGTGAGAACACTGCACTTGCGCCGGAACCCAATTCGCCCGAGTTGAAGCTACAGAGCCTCGCTTAGGTCTATTCGTTTGTATGTGAGGCATCCGAACGTCGCGCCATTTTGCCAATAGTGTCCGCACGTCATCTGCTAGTTAATTGGCACAAATAAAGGCATTATGATGATGATGAAGTCAGATGTTCTTATGGTTTGCCAAACAGGCACCCAAACGAACCGTTTTTCATCTACGGTGGACAGCTAGTTAATATTTTTCAAGCCTGACTGCTTACAAAGTTCTGCAAGCACGAAGCCCACGCAAGCATCACCGCAGTCGAGTGGCGCTAAAAAGCATCGCTGTGCTTCGAGTAATTCATTGGCGGTACACCGCTATCAAAACTATGTTTCCTAATTCGTGTAGGATTTTTTTCACAGACCCATATGTTTGCCTGCGGCTCTTTGAGGGATATTGAACAGCGCTCTCTTTAGCCCCGCGAATCTATATTAGGAAAACCTCTAAAAGGCCTCTCTTTGTTCGTGGCGGACATCCGGGATGTGAAAGCGATGTGCAAGCTCGCTCAGACTTGTGTTTAGTCCGCCCTGAATTTACATAACGAAAGAACCCGCGGCCCATCCACCTCGTTAATATAAACTCAACTTTGTACTGTTTGTCTTGCGTGGTGACCGTACCTAGCCCAAGTTATCGTCAGCTGTCTATTTTGCACCATATTCCCTGATCTGGTAAGGCAACGAAGGCCAGTTGCTTATTCAGAGAAGCTTGTGAGGTAAGTTAACGGGCCAAGTATCGACGCTATGATTGTTTGCTTGGTGTGTTTTCATTGACGTCATACTGCCTGGTTTAGAGGGGGAGAGGAGAGGAGAGAAGGAGGGGAGGAGAGGGGAGGAGAGCGTGGACACCAGACTTGCGTACCCGATAAGCGTAAGCAAATTTGGGAGCCGTCTAAACTAAACGCTAACGCGTGAATCACTGAGGCACGTTAAGGCCCGCTCACACTCTTGCGACTGACTTCGACCGAGAGAGACCAGACCGGTTTTTAAGCCTTTTGCGACTTCTTAGGACCAGCTCCGCTGCATCGCATCCGGTCCTAAGAAGTCGCAAGAGGCTTAAAAACCGGTCTGGTCTCTCTCGGTCGAAGTCGGTCGCAAGAGTGAGAACGGGCCTTTAACCTAAGCCTTGGACTTCCCTCCCCCCCCCCCCCCCCCCCCCCCCGCTCCTCATTGCCGTAAACCAAGTGACGCCTGTAAAGAAACACGTGCCAGTCAGAGTGCACAATGTAGCCTGTTGACCTCCTCCGGAAGCTTTTCTGAATACGCAAACTAGAGTAGGAAAACCTTGTTACAATTATTATAAGAATTCGGAAGAGGAAAATGTTAAAATGGTTCGCTAGGTGGTATAGTGAATACACTCCTCATATGAGCAGTTTGCTTTGATTTCGTCGTACTTGAAAACAAAAATATTGTCATACCTGTTTACTTGGGCGAGTCCTAGAGATTTCTAAGTAATGATAATGTAACGTCTTGTTTTGGTAGTTGCATTTCTTTCTTGTGACAACATTCTAAGCTTCGCTCCCCCCCCCCCCCCTCCCCCAAAAAAAACAAGCGTTTGTAAGCTGTTTAGCGAGAGCTTAGCCTTCACTGCGGATGCATAACGTGTCTTGTTCAACGTGAACGTATAATTTAGTTTGTATAAACAACATGACCTTCTTGAATGCTATGTTGGGGACAGCCTAAGGATCGGGGGAATTGGCTTATTGCGCTCACATTTCTCGCTTATCACGATTCATTTTTCGGCGTTCTTATCGATAGATGCTTCATCGACTGTAAAGCGACAATCAGAAGCACGTAATTGTACACGTGACTAGTCAGGCAACTATCAGCCGAAAGCCATCGCAGTTCCACATTTCAGGATTCATCCGAATTCGCCGAGCGGGGCGCCACGACACGGAATAAATAAAAGAAAACGTGCAAACACTAGCGCCGCTTAAAGGCCGACGACCAGACTCGGCATTATGCAAGGCAGAATATCCTCCTCTCCATGAGTGGATGAGGAAACCAGCAACGGTGGAGAGAGTGAAGGGGGAGAGGAGGAAGCGAGAGAAAAGTGGAAAGCGTGAACTGGTCGTTTGTCTTTAAGTAAGCGTCGCAGGAAAGACAGCTTACAGACACCGTCTGTGGCACTATTCCTTCCTTGTACGACGGTCCTGTCACATCGAACATACAAAACCTTTTTGTAGACATGTCCCAGGTACACATACGTGTAAAGCAAAACATGCTTAGGACATACCTAAGGCTTGCCCACAGACAATACTGTCACTATATCTGCAGCGAATGCCGTGTCTCTTGTAGGATGTGCGAGTATAGACGCTTTCAGGCAGGTGTGCATTGGCGAAGCCATAACCGAACTTCAGTTTTTCTTTCCTCTTATTCCATTCGCTCGACTTCAATTCATTGCCACATGACAGGATTTCGCCACTTAAGGTGCTACTGTGTCCTTCTCCCTAGCATAGGCCTTTGTGGAGGCTCGCCAACGCCCGCTTGTCTGGCTCGGTATCTTGGTAAGACAAGAGGAGGTCGGCAATGGCGGCTCAATATGGCGCGTGTTTAAGCGTCTATGGACACCCTGCAGATCTAACTCAGTGGCCGATACGCGCGCCTTTCGCGGCGGCATCGCGCGTACTCATCGGGACGCTACCTCGGCAGTCGCCGCTCCACTGCAGTGGTACGGGTGTTGCGATGTGGTACCCCATGCAGGCTTGGGCTACGACATTGGCGGAAGCGCGGGAAGACGCGGGAGCGGCGTACGGAGCTCTACTCCTCTCCCTACGCTGACTCAAAAGCGGCCGTGTGCGGCGCTGTTTGCTGGGCGACCCGTGGCGGCTCCTAGCGGACGCAGCTGGCGCCCATAAAGTCCTTTCGAACGTCCGCCGTCTGTTGCAAGCTGTGGAAACCCTGGATAATGTCGGAGCCTACACACACAGCCAAAGTCCTGTATCTATAACAATTGCTACGAATTCCATTTTATCGCCGTCTTATGCAACCTCAGATTTGCATGTTCCGCGATGAAGGGGTATCCACACGAAAGAGAACTCCGCGGACGGATGTCGTGACGTCAACAACCCGGGAAACTCCGTCCCCGGCTCCGCCGCGTGCACTTGCGGAGCTTTCGTGCTGTCAGCACAAAGCCTCCGCGCCTCCGCCACGGAGGAGAACGTGCCGCGAGGCATCAGAAAGGGATGACGTATGTCTCACGTGATGCGCGATCCGCGGAAGAAAGTGGCGGATTTCTCCTTCGTGTGGATACCCCTTGACACGAGCGACCAAAAGCGTCGCTATGTTCGGCTGTCTACGACTGGCCAAACGCTCATTGTGACGTCTTTAGTGGGATTAACCCTGGTTTATTCGACAAAAATAAAAGCGACGTCAGAGTGTACGCTTGGAAGGTCGCGATAAATCTCCAAGCTTCCACCATGCATCTTACACGCGCCATTAAGTTGCAGTTCGCCACCGATGATACGCGTCCGGGATCACAGCTTGTGACGTGACGGCAAGGTAAATCCTGGTTCCAATTTATGGATGAGGGACCATTAGAGGGCGCCACCGAAACATGTCGGTTCTAATAGTGTTACTTTATTGCGTAAAACGGTATACACTCCGTATGCCTCAATACGGAACGCGCGGCACTTGTGAGCGGCCCCTCGCTTAGTTCTTATTCCAGTATTGTAGCGCGGGT